CCCCCCCCAGTGTTCGAATGCGAAGAGTACGAATTGGAATGCTGGAAGTCTTGTATCTTTGAAGATTCCACTAATGTATTGCTATATAATCCTTAACTTGGTAACATACTTTACTTCCCTATAAGAATTTATGTTATCGAGCGAAGGACTATTTAACAACCCTCTAGTAGTTTGTGCTAGTGAATGATCGGGTAACCTTTGTTCAATAGCAAAATTAACTTCCCAGTGGGAATTTGCTATAGGGAAAAAGATTATCTAAACATCCCCGAGTGTATCTTTTCTTGTGTGCCTTGCTATTAGAGGTCTTATTATTGATGTCTTCATAGTATGCTTTCTGTTGCTATCTCGTTAAAAATCTTGCCAGAAAAATACAATTGGGTAAAAAGCTAAACGAAGGGAAAAAGAGTGCAGCACATACTTTCTGATCGGATAATGTTCATCAGCAATAATATCTTTTGAGGTATTCCACATTCTAATTGTTGAAACCTGGTAGGGGCCTTCCCACGTTGGACCTAGCTTCCCCGCGTTGAGCTACCGGGTGTTTTGAGTTACTTTCCTTAGGACCAACTCTCGTACTTTGAAATAACGGAGGTTGGCTCTTCTATTATAATACCGCTCCACTCTCTGCTTTTGAGCTACCATTCTTACATGCGCCAAGTCCCTGCGTTCATCGAGTAGTTCCAAGTTGACTAATATTGCTTTGTTGTTCGATTCTTCATCTTCCTGGAAATATCTTGAGGTGGATTCCCCTACTTCCACCGTGATTAAAGTTTCTGCACCGTACACGAGGGGAAAAGGGTTTTTCCCTGTGCTCGACTTGGCTGTGGTTCGGTACGCCCATAGAACTCCGGGTAATTCCTTGGGCCAGTTACCCTTAGCCGCTTCCAACCTTTTCTTGAGGTTTTGAATAATCACTTTGTTCGTTGACTCCGCTTCACCGTTTGCGCTGGGTGATAGGGTGAATATGTGATCCTCTTTATTTTTAAATCTTCGAGGAACTTTGTAAATTTTACGCCAATAAAATGTGGCCCATTATCCCATGCTATCTCTTTTGGTATTCCGAACCTGCAAATTATATTTTCCCACAAGAAATCCACCACTTCGCGTTTTCTGATCTTCTGATAAGGGGCTGTTTCCACTCACTTAGAAAAATAGTCAGTCAAAATTAAAAGAAATCTTACCTTTCCGTGAGCTGGTGGCAGTGGTCAGATGATGTCCATCCCCCATTTCATGAACGGCCTCGAGGACAGAACCAAATGTAAGGGTTCTGCCGGTTGATGCACTAGTGGTGCGTAGCGTTGGCACTTATCACATTTTCGTACGAAGTCTTTTGCATCTTGTTCCACGCGGGGCCAATAATATCCTGCCCTTACCAACTTCAGCACTAAGGAATCTACACCAGAGTGGTTGCCGCATATCCCACTATTGAAAAAAATAGCCTATGGCAACGCGTACAAAACCGTTGCAATAGACAAATAAATCGTTACCATTGATCTATTGCAACGGTTTAGTGACCGTTCCACTAGGTCGCGTGCCAAAAGCTCCGAAGCAACGGTTGTATTAACCGTTCCTATAGGGTCGTCTATCGTAACATTTATTCTTCTTTCTGATGTAACGATTATTTTTCCTCTATTGCAACGGTTTAAAACCGTTACCATTAGGTTTAATGCAACACTTTTATAAGCTATTGCAACGGCTATTTAAAGATATCGCAACGGTTTCCTAATGCTATTGTTACGGTTTTTCATATTGCAACGGTTACTTACAACGGTTTTCTATTTAAATATATTTTGTATCCTATTGCAACGGTTCTGCTAGGCTATGCAACAACTTAATTAACTATGATATATATATNCAACTAGTAATTAATATCCATCAAAGCAAAATGTTCAAACCCACCCAAGTGCATGCATAAGCGTTTACAATTCAAGAGTTAGCATAAAATATTCTTAAAACATCTAAAATTCCAGCAATAATCCAAAAATCTTCTTGAGTTAGGTGTAGATATTCAATGTCTACATCTTCCCTTTCACCATTTTCTCCACCTATAAAAAAGATAAATCAAGTCATTACCTTCAAGCGCTAGTTGACAATTCAAGCAAAAGCATGAACGAAAAAGCAAGCAATTCAATTCTAAAACTTTGAGAAGGGAAACACTTCAAATTATAGCAGCAGTAAGACTACAGAACATTTCTGTGCTTGATAAAAGCATTGACCATATCAACTATTGTTTCGTACTGTTTTAGGATAGCTTAAGGCAAAACTGCAATGATGAAGCTTTTAACATAATGTATAATTGTAGGAGGCAACTTGATAGCATTTCGTACAACAAGTTGATAGATGGATTCTCATTAACGTTATTCTGCTAAAAATATATATATGATGGAAAGAACTCCATGAATCAAATCCAATATAAGAAGCATACCTCAAAATATGTCGTGCGGTTCATTTAAAAGTTACAACTCATAAATAGCATTTTACAACTTACAGGCAATGCCTCCATTAACAAGACAGAAATAACAGCAATAAAAATATCTATAGTATATTATACTATAGATACTCATCACGAGTTTCACGTCGACAACTTAAGAAAGACGGCCCAACACGCTTCATCGGGCATAGCAATAGACAAGAAGAAAATTAAGATTTACATCATTTATGCCACTATATTACTACTGAGAACTAGTTGCATTCACCTAATGAAGATGAGCACTTCAATACCAAATCTGCAAACCTCAACCACAAGTAACTATAGTTGGCTTAATTATTTCCATGTAACAAAACAGTAGTGTCTCGCATATTTCCATGTAACAACCATTTAAATCCTAAAACATGGATACAAGCAGATCTTTATCAAGAGAAACTAACTTAATACAACTAACAACCAATAGAACAACCAAGCTAATTTATTAATCGGCTAAAAGCATGGACTAACAATAACTAGATGTCAAGCAGGAGATTATAATATCCGAATAGCACACGAAGACACAAATAGAGTCTAATTAAAGATTCACCACTTAACCAACATCAAACTAGCCCCTAGATCGAAAGCCACACAACCAGTAGAAGATGAAAAAACATTACTATATTAATCGGACTTCAATACCCATTATTTAAGCGAGATCACTCAGTTGCGAACAAGAAGGAAATAAATTGTGAACAGAGAAAGAGAGTTGTGGTAGAAGAAGTAACATAAGGAGGAGTAGAAGAAGAAAGAAAGAAAAGAAGAGGTGTAACGTTTGGAGTAAGTACTAACCTCTATTGTTACTATCAGTAGAGAGGCGATTGATTAGTTGAATAGCGTTTTGTTGAGCAGATGAAGCTTCTCCAGGTGAACGAGTACTAAAATTCAGCATGTTATGATCAATTTGTAATCCTGGATTAATACGTCGAAGTTGTGAAACGACATTAAGTGTAATTTTTTGTTCCCAAGCATCCTTGTGTGCATTGAATTTTTCCAACATCCTTTGTTGCATCCTCTCTTCCATTTCCTCAATTTTCTGTTGCATCCTGTCCCCTGTAGCATTTAATGAGGGTACAAAATCTTCCATTTTCCTTATTAAGACGGTCTTGGTAACCCCACGTCCATACAATCTTACACGACCTGGATGCTCGACTCCCATTACTGATACAAATGCGTCTACAGATTGACTGTCATCTTCACTTTCCTGAGTTGATTGTATTTTCTCCATTTCATCCTACATAACAAATTCAAAAGAAGAGAGCTTAAGTAAATAAAACTAAGTCAATAATTAAGAACTATGAAATGATCTCGACAAAGTTTAAATTAGAAAATTCGTACAATTTTACTAATTGTATCCTCATATGATCTTTTGTATACTCGACTAGGTTTTAACTTTCCTGGTAGACAAAAAGATGTCCTTACTTGATAGATTATCAGAAGTTTCCTTCTTTTTTTTCCTGGTTACATAAAAAAAACTATGAAAAACTTTTCATGTAAAGCTGACAAGTTCATATTTTATTTAAGGAAAGCATATTCAGCGATTGGAGTGTTCAAGTTTACTTTGTGGGAATCGGAGTTCCAATAGTTAAGAAGATCCTTAAAGTGAGATTCCGAAACATCTACCGGCCTATTCTCCATTCGAAGCTCGTCATTGGCATAGGCTTCAAAGTGGTCGTTCTTCAATTGATTCTTATACTTTCACCAAACAACCTGAATAGAACGAAAAACCCATGTTTTCGCCTCCTCGGGGATGTTATATTTTGCCTACAAATTTGGTGCGATTTGATTAGTGTAAGAAAATATAAAATATCATCCACGCTTATTGAAAATTAAAAATTGAAAACTTCAAACCTTGACATATTTCCACATATCATTTATTGTGTCTAGTTTCCTCCAATTAAATATATTAAGCGGATAAAATATCCCATTCCTTGCCAATGTGCCGAGAAATCTACCCAACCCTCTTACAACTTCATCAGTTGGACCAATGGGCTGATTCAACTCTTTTACAACTTCATCACTTGATTTCTACTGTAAGAATATATAAGATATTCTTTAATCTTCAAGTATTTGAAGATCATGTTATAGCAAAGTTCGACGAAACAAACATAAAAAGCAAAGTTTAGTAGTATGTATGAAAATCTGACAGAAATATTTCTCATACTTTAATGGTATATTATTCAATAATATATCGATTTGTCATTATTCATCACTACACAAGCATGCAAACTAGTGGAGGAAATAGATGGACAAAGTTGATGTCAAGTTATTTGCTAATGAAATGGCCATGTGAGACTAAATTGTAGGTGCTGAGATTAATCTTCTATACCAAGATTTGTATAGTTAAGGAAGACTGTAGCATTAGGAAAGTGTTTATGGTGATTAAAGAGAATCTTGTTGTTGGTTTTTTGCTTTATATACCTTTCACTTTTTCTCTTTTTATTTTCAGAAGCTTCATTGTTGTAACGGTAGAACAAGTCTATTGGGGGAATTGACACATAGATCTGCTCAACAATTAGGGAATGGAAAATTGCCTTCTGAAGCAAGCTTGATCCCCTTTGCAAATCAATAATTCGGGCCAAACAAGGATGGAATTGATGTCTACAAATTTGGGCAGGCCTATCACTAATTCTAATGAGTCTCTTTTAGAGCCAAGTGGAGAAACAGGACCAAAAACTCCAACTGAATTGAATTCTACTAGAAAAAGAAAAACAACTCTTCAAGAGGAAACAAAAGAAGATGCCCCCGCTAATGGAAACATGGTTAGGATTATTATAAAGTCGAAATAATTTTGATTTGCTTAACTAATGCAATTAGTGGCTAATCAAATTTTCATTTTAGGGAGGTGAAGGTGATGATAATGCAAGAACAAAGCGATGTAAACAAGAAGTAGAAGGTAATGAGACAGAAAATGGAGCAGCTAACATGGAGGAATCAAAGGGAAATAATGAAGGTGATGAAACTCAAAATCAAAAGCCTCATAAGCGATCAAAGGACTATATTCATGTTATAGCAAGGAGAGGACAAGCTACGGATAGCCATAGTCTATCAGTGAAATTATCAGCACAATATTCCCCAAGAAAAAAGATCACAGCATAACAAAAATCGTGTATTTCCAATCAATAACAGTACATCGCTCAAATACCCTAAAAATAAAATTAAAATAAATTAATCTGGTGTAAAGGAACTTACGATGATATTTATTCTACAGTTACCAGTGGCAAATTCTTCTTCAAAGAGGAATGAAATCTGCGAATTAGGGCTCAATTGTTGAGAAATTGCAAAACCAAAAAAACAAAAAAAACATGCGAAATAAATCAGAAATTTATGAGAATCGAGCAAAACCCTTGAATTAGGGATCTATGGAACTTGACGGGTTAGCCGATCTTAATCGAGAAAAAAACCTAAACTTATTGGATGGTTCGAATTGTTTGAAAGAGCTGGTTGTTTATGGTGCGAATTAAGGGTTAACAGTTGAGAATTGTTTGCTGAGATTTGGTGGGTTTAACGGAGGTTGGCAGACGGACTTTCTCCGGCGTAGGACTGTCACTGGCATGGGTGTCACCAGCGAGGGCGAGGTTTGGCAGAGATATTGGGCGTGAGCTTTGAGAGAGGCTTAATATTTTACTTTCTCCTTTTAATTAATTAGTAGTACTATTACATAAAAAACACAAGTAAAAAAAAAATCGAATGTAAATAATTTGGGGTTTTGGCGGGTTGCAGGAAAATTTAGGGGGGG